ATAGCTTTGGCGAGCACGTCGTAGGCCCCACTTTTTCCAAAAGGGTGGCTTCAAAGTGTCGCAAACAATTTAGCAAGACCACTTTCAGCGCTAGCCATACCAAGAATGCTAGGATAAGATGCTTACTCGTACATCAGACCTTCAACCATGTTGCAGGGACACCCAAGAACAGGAAGGTACCGTGGTTCCAGTTGCAAAAATCTTTCGGCTTGGCAAGATGTGCTACTACTGCCGCCGCTGCCAGCCACACTCCGCTGCTGATTATTATTGTTATGAACCTTATTACCACTAGCACCACCACCACCACCACCACCACCACCACCACGACTACTACTACTACTACTACTACTAACACTAACACTACTAACACTACTAACACTACTAACACTACCACTACTACTACTACTACTACTACTACGACTACGACTACGACTACGACTACGACTACGACTACGACTACTACGACTACGACTACTACGACTACGACTACCACTACCACTACCACTACCACTACCACTACGACTACTACTACTACTACTACTACTACGACGACTACGACGACGACTACTACTACTACTACTACGACGACGACGACGACGACGACTACTACTACTACTACTCCTTGAACATGGACGATAAGATCTTGGCCAATCTATGCATGCTCAAAAACCATATAAGGGGAGCTCGACCCCCGAGGCACTAAATCAACAGCTTTTCCCAAGATCGTCTAGGAGCATGACGAGTACTGCTGCTGCTGTTGCTGCTGCTACTATTACCACTACTCATTACTACGGGTACTGGTACTGGTATTACCAATGCTAGTGCTCATACTAGTATGACGACTACAAATCCTACTACTATTTCTCCTCCTACTACTATTTCTCCTCCTCCTACTACTAATACTACTACTACTACTACTCCTCCTCCTCCTACGACGACCATTACTACTACCCCTAGGAAGACGACGACGACTACTACTACAACAACTACAACAACTACTACCTCTACTACGACGACTACTTCTACTAGTACTAGTACTACTACTAGTACTACTAGTATTACTAGTACTACTAGTACTACTAGTACTACCACTACAACCACCACCTTAACTGCGACTACGACTACTACTACTACTACTACTACTACAACTACTACTACTACTACTACTGTAATACTGCTCCTGCTATTACAGACACCACCATGGCACTTCCGTCGGCACCATTACCAGCAGCGCCAAGCCTCTGCTGCTACCACCGCCACGCCACCGCCACCAACACCACCAGCGCGACCACCCGCAACGGCCGCCACCGCCACCTCCGCCGCCCCCGCCGCCAACGCTGCCACCGCCGCCCGCCGCCATCACCATGGCACGCCGCCGCTACCGCCACCCCTCCACAACCCCGCCACCACCAGCGCCACCACCAGCGCCACCGGCACCGGCACCGCAGCCTCCAAACCATCACCACCGCCACCTTCACCAACAACAACACCACTGTGAAACCGTGAGACATCTACCGCGGTTCTCATGTTTCTTCTCCAGGTCACGTGGTCAAGGTCTCAAATCCAGCGCGGCGCCTCTCAGTACGGCTCCCTGAGGTCGGGACAGTTGAAATGGGACTGGCGGCTTAAGATTTGGGATGATTTAGGCTTTAGTGCTTGGAGTTTATGTCTGAGTGCGTAAGGCAGCTTCCAGGACGTAGAGCTAAAGGTGTAGAGCTGCAGGGAGCTTTAAGATTTAGAGCTTAGGCCTGGTTTCTCAAAATTTTGACGGCCCTATCATAGGGCTCAGCTTATCTGATGCCAACCTTCTGATCTCATTTCAGAGAAATCCCCAACCGACGATCTTACTTGAATTTTGGATGCCCTTTCACGTTCCATGTTTCTTCGGGGTAGCGCATCTGCGTTGACCTAGATTCCTTCCATTACGCTAGGCTCATCGAAAGCCCCACACTTCTGAGAGGTCGCTTCAGAGATGAGTTTCTGGGTTCAAGGACCTGAAGTCCTACGTTTGCCTTGCGATGGCACACGTCAGTCTCTGCACGACCTCTTATATAACTTTGGCTTTACGCAACCCCCAACCCTGAACCCTAAATCTTATGCCTCCAACCGCTAGACCGATATGACACCCACACCTTAAAAACCTAAGCCCTTGACCACAGACCCTACCATGCGCTCACAAATCTCGCTGCAGGGCCGCTGTGGAGTCAGGGCGAAGGTGAGCGAGACTGCCGCAGCTCCTCGTCCTCAAACAAATCCGGAGGGTTTCAGGCCTCAGGGTTTGGGAATTGGGGTGGGGGAGAATTAAAGCGAAAAGTGAAAATGGAGTGGAAACGTGTGGGAGAGGGGAAGAAGTACATTCATGGCTGTGAACCGAAAACACTGGAGGATGATAGGGGGTTTATGGGTTGAATCTCCAACATTATTGTCTTCGGTTTGGCGTACCATTGTGAATAACATTGGAATCATGGGAAGTTTTTTTGGCGTCTGCAGTAATTACACAGTTATGATTTGTAGACTGCACATCCGAAACCCTAAAGCCTAAACCCTGATGGTCAAATTCTGCCGTGGAGAGATGGAACAGGCGGGGGCGTGTTTATGTTTTTGCTGTTTGGGCGGGAGGCGTGTGTGTGTGTGTTTTGCTATTTGGGCGGGGGCGTGTTTTTTGTTGTTTGGGCGGGGCCCGCGCCCCCGCCCAAACAGCAAAAAAGAAAACGCGACCCCACCCAAACAGCAAAAAACAAGAAAGGCCCAAACAACAACAAAGACCAGACAACAAACAACTAAACACTCTTGCCCTAGTGCGGTGTCTTTGCTGTGGTGTATGTGCGCGGTCCAGGTGTTCCTGGTGTATCTGCGAGGTGTAGGTGTTGCGGTGGGCGGTGTAGGCGCCGTGGGGTACTGGTGCAATGTGCACGGTGCAGTTGCCCTGGTGTATGTGAGCGGTGTAGGTGTTGTGGTGGGCGGTGTAGGCACCGTGGTGTACTGGTGTGGTGTAGTTGTTGTGGTGTATGTGAGCGGTGTAGAGGTCCTGGTGTACGTGGGCGGTGAAGGTGCTGTGGGGTACTTTCAGCAGTGTATGCGAACAGTGTAGGCGCCCTGGTGTAAGGGGTCGTCGATTCCCCACATAATTCCCAGGATGGTCCATGCCCCGGTGCTGCCAGCCGCCGAAAAAAGCGAGAGGGTCGTCAATTCCAAAAAGTTCTCAGGAGCCCAAAACAGCGACAAGGTCGTCGATTCCAACAGAAGTATGAGGACGCTCCACGCGCCAGCGCCGCCCGCCCAAAACAGCGAGAGAGTCGTCGATTCCGAAGAGAATTCTCAGGACGCTCCACGCGTCAGCGCCACCGCGCGCCCAAAACGGCGAAAGGGTCGTCGATTGAAAAAAGAATTCTCATGACGCTCCACGCGCAAGCGCCGCCACCCAGCCAAAACAGCGAGAGGGTCGTGATTCCAAAAAGATTTTTCGGGACTCCGCGCGCCAGTTTCGCAGCCCGCTCAAAACAGCGAGAGGATCGTCGATTCCAAGCAAAACCCTCGAGACGCCCCACGCGCCACCGCCGACACTCGGCAAAAACAACGACAGGGTCGTCGAGTCCGAAAAGAATTCTCAGGACGCTCCATGCACCAGCGCGGCCACCCAGCCAAGACAGCGAGAGGGTCGTCGATTGCGAAAAGACTTTTCGGGAGGTTCCATGCGCCAGCGCGGCCGCCCACCAAAAACAGTGAGAGGGTCGTCAATTCCGAAGATTGCTCAGGACGCTCCACGCGCCAGCGCTCGCGAGACGCCATCGATGCCCAAAAGACGTCGCAGAACCTCCATGTGCCAGCGTTGCAAACCGCGGGAAACAGCGAGACGGTCGTCGATTCCCATTCGCAAGAAGCTCCATGCGCCAGCGTGGGCACCCGCCGAAACAGCAATTCACGTTGAAAATTCTCACGGCGCCACAGCGAGAGCATTTCAACACGCACGATCCCCACAGAGGATTCGCCGGCGACTGAAAACTCGCACGGCGCCACAGCGAGAGCGTTTTGACACGCACGATTCGCACGATCCCCGCAGAAGGTTAGCGCGCGAGCTTCAGAATTCGCACGGCCCCAAAGCGAGAGCGATTCGACCCGCACGGAACGCGGAGAGGATTATAGCGCGCGAGCTTCCAAAAAAAGCAAGGCGCCACAACGAGAGCGTTCCGACACGCACGAAAGTCACGAAACCCGCAGAGTGTTCGCCCCGATGATCCCTGCCAAACCTACCTCGGCTTTAGACATAAAAGAAAATAGAAGAGATGCTATGCCGTGGTGTAGGCGAGCGCTGTAAATGCTGTGGTGAAGTGTAGGCAAGCGATGTATGTGCTGTGGTGTGGCGTTAGTGAGCGGTGTAGGTAGACAGTGGCGTGGTGTATGTCAGCGGTGTAGATGTTGTGGCGTATGTGAGTGGTGTAAATGCTGTGTAGATTGTGGCACGGTGATGCATGGTGTATGTGAGCGGTGTAAGTGCTGTGGTGTGTGCAGGGCATCTGTTTTTTTACGAGGAACCCTTCGCGGTGTTTTCTTGAAAAAACCTTTCAACACTAAAGATTTATTTGGGTAGTTCCGAAAATTAGGGCCTTCATTTTGCCCCTAAATATTATTAGGTGCCGTGATATAGTCTATTACCAAAAACGGCCCATAATTTTGCGAACAACCCATTTTAGCAGGATCATCTCGAGGTCTTTGCGATATCCCTGGCAAAGGCTGGCTAATGCCCTTCAAAAGGGTTTAGGGTTTAGAGTTCCAGGTCTAATGATGTTTAATGTTCAGGGTTCAAGGTTCAGGGCTCAAAATTGAGGGCTTAGGTTCAGAATTGAGGGGTCAGGGTATATGTACACCTTTTTTCGAGAAATTCATTGTGGCTACAGCAACAGCCCTCCAAATAGGATTGCGCCAAAACCACTATAGACCTCGTCTGCTACAAGGATAACATATTTAACCGGGATATGTCGCGCTTTGGCACAGATTCATAGAGCCATACGTTTCGATCAAAATACCCAAGTGAGGCGCAGAAGCCGTCCTGCAAATTGGCCATCAACGCGGGTTACTTCAACGTGCACACTAGCGATTGCATCGGCAATGTCGTGTCTGGCGGGCGAGTTCTACAGAGTGTACCTGAGTCCCAGAGCAATGTCAACTTTGGCATTAAGGACTGAACTGCGGAGCTATAGTGCTGGTAGTCCGCGTTGCTTAAAAGTCGTCGTAGCAGTCGTGGTTGTGGTAGTAGCGATGGTTGTCGCAGCAGCGGCCGTAGTAGCAGGAGGGCTACTAGTACTAGTAGTAGTAGTAGTAGTAGTAGTAGTTTGTTGTAGTAGTAGTAGTAGAAGAAGAAGCAAGGGAGAAACGGGCAAGGATCATAGGACGAGGAGGAGGGTGAGAGGCAACCGGCCGCAGCAACGGAAGCACCCGTGCTGCTGCTGATGCTGCAATTACCATTCTTCAGCATATGCGCAAAGAGAAGTGGCAGAAACTATTGCAAGCAGCCCAGTATAACCCCAATATAACTTCAAAAAACCTCAATATAATCTCAATGTAACCCTAATATAACCCTCACATAATATAGCCCAAATATAGCCCTAACATGGCCCTAATACAACCCTAAACCCAGAATTCCATAATTCCATAAGGGATTTGTTTTGGGAGCATGGCAAGCAGGATGGTAAGTTCTTCATTGGCTATGCTGATCGCGCAGAGGTTGGGGGGGCTGCTCAGTGTTTTAGGGTTTAAAAGGTTTAGGGTTTAGGGTTTAAATGGTTTAGGGTTTAAATGGTTTCGGGTTTAAATGGTTTAGGGTTTAGGGTTGCGGGCTTTGTTTTTTTGCATTTACGGGTGTATGGGCTTAGGGCTTAGGAATTCCATTGGGATTGTAAAGGGTGCACATTGGTCTCAACCCTAATCCCTACACCCTAAACCCTGAAACATTTAGATGAAGGTTTTCGGATGCTAGATGGCTTGGAACTTTGGTTCAAGCCTCTCAGGGTCTTAACCCAGACCCCTGCTTAATAAACCCCCTACCCTTACTGGGGACTATAATAGGGATCCTAATACTAAGGCCCTTAAAAGAAGAGGGTTCATTAATCATGGGTCTACATTATCATGTGGAACCCGTTTACAGCACCAGAACAACAACAGACTGTAGACTTGGTAACATGAGCAACCTTCCAAAACCCCACACCTACGGAACCAAACTGGATGACCCGCCCTTCCCCCAAACGAATGTGGAACCCCCAAAAGGGTCCTCATACACCGGTGTCCTCTAAAAGTCGAGCAATATGGCTTTCGGGACCTAAGCCTTGAACTCCAAGACCTGAACCCTGGGAGAGGTGGAAGGCTTCCAGCACCTTATATCTGGTGTGGGCTGGCTGGTGCACGAGGGCCGACGGGTCATTGAGACAGAATGGCCCCGCGCAAACACCACCGTAGAGACATCTGGGAAGGCGCAAACTCCACACACGTCAATATGGGTGGCTGTCAAAATTATGGTCTCTTTTTGGATCCCTATTATAATACGGCACCTAATATTTAGGGTACCCAAAAAGGGACCATAATTTTGACAACCACCCATATCTTAAGCACTTCAACTTAGCTGTCGTCTCCCTGGCTGTCAGGACTTTGACTCTTGGGTTTCGTGCTATCTATATTAGGGAAGGTGTCCTAAAGACAGCTAAGTCAACATTTTAGCTCAGGGTTTAGGGGTTCAAAGCGCCCAAACCCCACACGTTAAACCTGAAACCTGCACAAACCCTCTTACCTCAGCATTGCTTCCTTCGAGTGAGGAACACATGCATATGTCAGTGGGGCAATTGATGATATGGAACATGTACGGAATATCGTAGGTTTTCTGTATTGTGCTAAGAAGACGCAAGTGAGGGGCAAGCTAATGCATGGATTGGGTTCGAAGTTAGGTCTGTTGCGTGGTGTAACGCCATTTTGTTAGAATCGGGTTGTGGGATACTTGTACTATTACAATTATACAAGCTGTAAAAGGGTTAAAAGGAGAGAGCACTAATGAGTTTATTGGCTTCTACAGTGGGTTTGCCGGAGACAAGGTGGGGGCCTAAGCAATTGCCAATACAACGGTCCTAGGTTCCTTGTAGAGTTATAGTATGAGTACCTAAGACCTCAACAACAGCCCCCAGACCTTAAACCCTAAACCCCAGACCCTAAACCCTGCGCCCTCACCCCAAGACCCCAAACCCTAAACCTCAGACCCTAAACTCTAAACCCTAAGCCCTAACCCTCAGACCCTAAACCTTAAGCCGCAAAATGATATTGGCAACCCTAAGCCTGAAACCCTAAACCGCCCTTGTATCATTCGAAGAGCACCCCTCCTGTCCTCCACCACCACCGCCGCCGCCGCAGCAGCAGCAACAACAACAACAACAACAACCACCAACCACCAACCACCAACCACCAACCACCAACCACCAACCACCAACCACCAACCACCAACCACCAACCACCAACCAAAACACCACCACCACCCCCACCACCACCCCACCCCACCACCACCACCGCCGCCGCCGCCGCCGCCACCACCACCACCACCACCACCACAACAACAACAACAACAACAACCAACCACGACCACCACCACCACCACCACCACCACCAACAACAACAACAACAACAACAACAACGACCACGACGACGACGACGACGACGACGACGACGACGACGACGACGACGACGACGACGACGACGACGACGACGACGACGACAACCACGACGACAACCACAACGACAACCACAACGACAACCACAACGACAACCACAACGACAACCACAACCACAACGACAACCACATCCACAACAACAACAACAACAACAACAACCACAACCACAACCACAACCACAACGACAACGACAACGACAACGACAACGACAACGACAACCACAACAACAACAACAACAACAACAACAACAACAACCACCAAAACAACCAGAACAACCACAGCAACCACAACCACAACAACCACAATACCACAGCAGCCACAAACTCTGTAGGGCTTGGGCTCAGAGATTAGGATTCAGGGATTAAGGTGTAGCTTTATAGACGTTTCCAAAGAATCGGGGTCCACTTTTGAATACACCAGTTATCACAGGACCCATAAACCCGGATCCCAAACCCTGAAGGCCTACATCTCGAAGATCGCCAGCCGTACTGCTATTGGCTTTGATCAGCGCGGTGAGCTCATCATTGTGCAAGTGGACCGCTGACAGCAAATCCTGGTGTCTTAGGGGCTGGTTGGTGCCAAAGGGGTCGGGACAAGCAACGGCATACAAGCCTCATGGAATATTTCTTCACAGCAGCTTCCTCAAACTGAATGGGTGGCCGCGTGCCCTTCCCAAAAAGGGGGGCCATGCAAGCAACGACTGAAATCATGCCGTTTTACAGTGTTGCAGACATTTCAGCTGCCTGGAGCCAAGGTACAAGGTATGGTAATGGTTTGGTGTTAATAATGGTTTGGGGTTTATAGGGTGTTGGGTTTAGGGTTGAAAGGCCCAGCAATAGCATGGCAGCCATCATCAATAATTAAGATTGCACTTGTCATGCGAAGCATTCTCCGAGGAAGGCGTGGCCGCAATGCTTGTGCCTGCAAGACAACATTGACAGCATATGAGCAAGAATCTAAACTCCTTAAAGGGGGTTACATAAGGGATTCCGTAGGGGACTACTATAGGGGTCAGGAGGGGGGATACTAGGAGTTTGGACTACGGCTCATGTTGAGAAACCATCATGTTTCCTTGTGGCAGCCATTGCAAGAAAATACCAACCCCGCTCCCTCAACCCCAAACATGTCTTTTGTTGTTCGTTGCCCTCCACTGCTTGCCGTGCCTATCCTGAGAGGAAGTTTGGGAGGGTAGCAGAGAATCCGCTACTGTAAGAAGTCACCAAAAACGGCACAAAACACCATCTTGAGCCCACAATACCACTCCCGATGACGAAGCCCTAAAACTCCAAACTCTACATTGAATCTGTAATCCCTGGACCCAAAACTCTAGACCCAAAACCCTAAACCCCAAAGGAGTGACTTCCTGAACCCTGTTAGGATGGATCGGTGGCCGAGGGAGAGACAAAGCCGAAGGGCGCGACCAGACATATTTTTGTTGGCAAACGGAGGGTTCAGGGTTTGGGGTTGGGACTTTCTGTGGGGTTTAGGGTTTACAGTGTTTTGGGATTTTAGGGTTTGGCTGAAGGGTTATGCTGTCTAGGGCTTAGGATGTAGGATTGAGGCTCTTCAAGCCTCATTCTGGCCATCTTCATTCTGAAGCCAACTGTGTTCGTTTAGTCGCGTCATTCTACTGAAACAGGGATTGCCTCCGAAGCCCAAAAGAAAGAGCAGAGTGTAGAGAAGGCACAACCAGCTGACTGGGGGTTAGTAAGAAATATTGAAATATGTTGTATAGGGATTATAGTCCCTTATTCCTTGCTAACCACCAGTAAGCAGAGGTCTTTCGATGGTCTGAAATTCCAAAACCAAAATTCACCGTAGGCCTGCATCGTATAACAATCCTTAATAAAGAGCCCTCATCTTGAAATCATAGAACTTGAAGGGGCCTCCCTTAGGGTTCAGGGTTGAGGGTTTAGGGTTTAAGCTGTGTGTGCTAACCTGCTTCATAAATGCGATTGCAGAGTGGAATGAGCCCTGCCAGTATGACCCCCATTCATCACGCAAGGAGAACTTGCCGCGCGGTTTCAGGTTTAGGGTTTAGCCATGTTGTCCGTAGCAGTCCTTGTATATCTATAGTACCTATAGTACGGTATACACAAGAACCCTATCCTAATTCAACAGGCCCTACATTACAACCCCTTTATCACCCCCTATATCATTTTCCTTGACCTGATCTATGTAGAGATATACGTAGAGTGATCAGAGCAACAGCCAAATCAGCCTTGCCAGGACTGTGATCGTGCTTACTTCCTGGATAGTGCCCCCGACAATAGCGACAGGGGTGTGTATATTTATATATATATGTGTCAGATATAGATATGTATAGCCTTGATTTTTGGCCTTGTGAGGGCCTGATAATGGGTGAGGTCACTACCCAAATTCCTTTCATCGCGATTATGATGACAGGTACCAGACCCCAAGAAAAGATGAACTTGCTTGGCTCAACCATACCTTAAACCCTAAGTCCTGAAAAACTCCTGTCAGGTGAACATGACCCAACTAGCTGACCTACTGGTTGAGCATGGTGCTGTGGAGGCAATCAACTTGGACGGAGGTGGCAGCTACCCGGATGATGTTGCAGAGCTTCCGTAAAGCCTAACTAAACCCTAAAACCCTAAGCTCTCAACTCTAGGATTTCTGGGAAAGTTATAGTGACCTCACCTGACCTCGCCCCAAATGAGCTATGGTCTGAACTCCTTAAGGGGGGTGATACAGGGCATTGCTATAAGGGTTACTAAGGGGGATACTAGGAGTTTAGACTATGGCTCTTAACATGAAGTAGAGTCCCAAATTGACATAAATTTCAGCTTCTCAAATACGTATAAGATGGCCAGGAAAACCCTAAACAATCAACCCTAAACCTTAAACCTTGCGGCTTAAGATTTCAGGGAACAGCTCGGAATCCCTGTAATCTTGAGTGAAGTTGTCCAAGAATTCGAACCTTTCCCAAACCAACTATCTAACTCAGGCTTTTGCGATTTAGGGATTTAGGGGCTCAGGGTTTGGGGGCTCAGGGTTCAGCCTAAACCGGCACCTCTGGACTCTCCTGAAGGTTTAGCCTAAACCCAAAACACGGATGAGGGTCCGGTGTGGGTTTAGGGGCTTAGGGTTTAGGGTTGGGCCAGAGGGCGGAGAATCCCAAAAAATGCCTGAGAGCTCCCCCTTTGTTTGAAATAGACACGTGCGCATTTGTTAGGAATCCTTTAGCCCAAAACCCCAAACCTTTGTTTAGGGTTTAGGGCCAGCCCCCTCTGCACAACTATAAAACCCCCTTCCGTTGGAACAACCTTTCTTTTAAGTGGAGAGGTTCATGAAAGAACGGAGAGGATGGCCAAGTCTAAGCTTTCTTCCTAAACCCTAAACCCTAAACCCTAAACCCAAAAGCCTCTTTGAGTTGGGAGTTCTAGACCGAACCCCAACAGTATGTGAACTATAATCTAAACTCCTTAAAGGGGGGTTATATGGGAGATTATATAGGGGACTACTATAGGGCTTATCAAGGGGGATTCCAGGAGTTTTATTATGGGTATAGGGCTATTTTTTACATACTTTTGGGGTTTAGGTAGACTGAACCCCTGAAGCTACTCTAAATGTAAAGCTTTTCACCATGGGCCCTCAGTTTGAGCCCCGTTTCCAGTGTCCTAACTGTGGGCCCTTAATTGGGCTTGAAGCGTTTCCCTAAATAGTAGCTTCCATTTTCTTGTCCATTATCCCCAGTTTAGCCCCAAACTATACCCTATAATCCCAGTATAACCCCAATACGCGTCATCATACCTCAAAAAGGATCCCAAGGTCAAGGGGCCCCATACTAGGGGCCCAGATTGTCGAGCCCAAAGCCCTTGATCTAGGCAGCACCATGGTACAAGACTGGGTTGCTGTTAAGGAACTTAATTTAAGTTACCATAATGGGTACATGTAGTAGATAATAGGGTTTCCCCAATATAGTAACTTAATTTATTCCTTAACAGCAACCCAGTCTAGGCAGCACCATGGTACAAGATGGGGTGGTGATCAACTATCCATCAGACAGACGACCTCCGTCCTGCCTGGCCAACATGAATCATGGCTGGGTTCAGGGTTTAGGGCTTAGGGTTTAGGGCTTAGTGTTTGGGGTTTAGGGTTTAGGGTTCAGGGTTTAGGCTTAGGGTTTGGNNGTTTAGGATTTAGGGGGTTCAGGGTGGCACTTGGAACTCCACATTTTCCTGTCTGCTTTCATGGTAGGGAGTCTAAACGTTTGAGGTTGTAGGAGCCCAAAAATTAGCTAAGGAAGTATCACTGTGAAAGGCCTGTTGCTTGGTGGCAGTCAGAAAAGATGCTAAAGAGTCTTGAACATCATGATTAGTGCTACTACTACTCTTATTACGACTATTACCGTTATTAGACATGCATGTCTTTTTTAATCTTTTGCCGCAGCAGATTCACGGAAGCACCAAGGTCAGTTCTATCCTATGTGTCCAAGAGATCCCAAATGAGGAGTTGTGGTTCCTAGCTTCTCACGAGATTACCCCTGTGATGGTCGCGTGCTTAATTTTTTTGTCCAGTTTCTCTGGCTTCTTCCTGGCCAGGGCCATGTACACGAGGCACCCCTCGCAGAGCCAGTCCCTGGCAAAGCATGATGCGTTCCTGGGAGAAGGTATTCATAATGTCAGCAGTGGAGACGAGGAGTCCAACTCCTTGTCAGCGGCTGTGAAGTTTTAACTCGTACAGCAAAGTGTAAGCTGTGATGTCTTATCAAGGGATGTTGCCCCATGGCATGGGGACAGGAATGGGTTCAGGGTTTGTAGTTTGGTACGTAGAGCTAAATGACCCTTCAGCAAGGAGAGGTCCCAGGCAAGGGCGCCATCCGTCATCCGTGGCGTTGTTTGTCACGAGAAACCTTGGAGCTTTGCTGGTACCCAGCACCAATACAAAGCTTCACCTTGCAGATATTTGGCAGCACCTGAGGAGATGCCATTTCTGCTTTTTGAACCACGGTCCATCTTCCCCCCAAACTAACATGGAACCCCTGAATAGGGCCTGAGCAAGACTATTCTCCCTTTGAAGTCCAGCCTCCATGGGTTCCATGTTTGTGTCGGGAGGTCCAGGGGAGAGTCCTTTGCCCGGCTGGTTGTGACGTTGATCAGCGCTTCCTCGCTCACAATTCGTTAGGAGTGTTCCTGCGGCGATTCCAACCTCCGACTGTGACGAACTGAACAACTGGGATTCGGCTTTGATTTGCTGCCATAGTGTCACTAGAACGTTGAGTATACTACACCGCTGCCCGGTTCCAGTTCCTCAGTTTGATCCATAAGCTACTACTTGGATGCTCCCCCGCCAAGAGCCATATTAGAGTCTGCTGCGGCTATCGTGTAGTTGCACCTGATCACCCTACATAACAAACGGTTTTGGGGAACATTCAAGCAACACTCCTGCCTGGGGAGCGGCGCTTGCATTATGCAAATGGCCGCTGACCGGACTCTTTTCAAATTCGGATTTTTTGACAGTTAGGAGCTTACCTTTGGTTAGCTAAACGGATCCTTGAAGTAGTCCCTATATAACCCATTTCAGTAATTAGTTCCCATTTTCTTTGCCAATCTTTAAATATGGCGATCCTACGAGGGATATTCATAAGTTGTTCAAGGATTCGATGCCAATACTGTCAGGCCCCCAGACCCTTTTCATGGGGTCGCATGCGTTTTGCCTTCGCAGTTGCGAGTTGATCGCTCAAAGCGCCACAGCTCAGTTCCCAAAATTTGGGTCCCAT